TAACTTTGTCGAACAACATAGGAGGTTTAAGTAACTTACCTTTTTTAATTAATCTTAAAATCGGGTGAAGTTAAGTTAAACTAACTAATTTAGTTTGTCCTCTAAAAACAAATGTTATTTTAAGATACAGTGAATTTAATTATAATTAATTTCTCTAATAAATTAATACTTTAGAAAGTTTATGTGATATCTATGCTTGAGACAGTATCATGCACGTACCTCTAGTGCATGTTAGAGGGAACCCATTGCTTACGTGTTTTTTCATGCACTTGACAAATACTTGAACCAATTTCTCATGGAACATTATTGTCTAGTTATATTCCTATGTTCCCACACTCAACATGCATGATTGGGGTTAGGAGTTAGAGGTATAAAGTGGACCGTGTTTTCCTCCCCGGTGAAAATTTTTGGGGGTTGGTCCAGCGTAGCCCACGGCCCAAGCCCATGCGAGCCCGTGCCATGTCACAGGCCTGGTCTGGGCCGGGCTGCAGGCCGTGTATGGGCCACAGGGTGGGTCTTGGGCTTGGGCCGAACCGGGATAAATTGATTTTTTTTTTTACTTTTTTTTGTTTTTTTTTTTAATTTTTGATTTATTTTCTAAGTAAAAGTGTAAAACTAAAATATTTAACTTTCCTTTGAATTTTGGGAATTATTTGAAAATTTAAGAAATGAGAAATGGGAAATCTAAGTTATCTAACACAAATGAAAAAAAAATGCTTAACCATATAAGAATGATGGAATAACAAATTGGAAGAAAAATAGGAATTTTATTTCATTCAAATTTGAATGATACAAATTACAAATACAATGATTGGATCATTGGATGAATGAAATATGAAAATGGAATAAATTAATAAAATATAAAAAATATAATATAGTTACAAATTGAAAATACAATATTACATTGTTAAAAAAAATAAAAAATAGCAAATAAAATTAAAAAGATTTACAATAATTTGAGAAAAAATAAAAAATTCTATACAACTAGTCAACTTTATGAATCATGACTTTCATCATCTGCTTCAGGTGAAATATCCGGTGTAGTATCATGCCCTCCTTTATCTTGTAATCTATCTTATGCATCTAGGCAATCCTTAAAGCAGATGCAAATCTCTATATTTTCATCACTTATGCACCTTCTCTTGTTGTCCAATACCCTGGTACTTGTACTAAAACAAGACTTTGATGGAACTGTAGACACCGGAGGGGTTAGTAGATCATGTGCCATGGCGGCAAGAACTAGATAATTTTTTGAAGGTTCACAACACCAGGCTAAAATATCAAAATTATTTGTTCCCTCACCTAAACTAGAAAAAATTGCTTGTAAATAAAAATTAAGTTCAGTAAATGAACTTGTTGTAGAAGACTAGAAGTAGCAGATTTCTGCCTTCTACTTATTAAATAAAAAAGTTTTTTTCTTCTACTACTGGGCTCAAGATCAAAAGTGGAAGATGCTGTACAAGTTGTAGGAATATTTCCTACTATTTTAGATTCATATAAACTGTACATTTCAAATAACAAATTATTAATTTCTTCTTTTTTTTATTTCCAATTTCAGTATTCATATTTTCACAATATGTTTCAAGTAAAATATTTAAACCATATTTCCTAATCTTAGGGTCTAATATTGTAGCTACACAATAAAGGGGAGAAATGTTCTCCCAATATTTTTTAAATTTATTTTCCATTATTTCAATAATATATTTAAATTATGAATTATTTCTATATTTTGCAAAATAATCACTAATTACCATAAATTGATAAGGTAAATTATAACAAGTTGGATAATAAATACCTGATAATTCATTAGTTGCATCATAAAAATGTTTTAAAAAATCTCTTATACAAATTATCATTTCCTAGTCTTCCTCAAATATAATATTAGTAGGCATTTTTGCATTATAAAAATCAGTAAGAATTTGTTTATGAGAAATACAACTTTCTAACGTAGCATAGGTAGAATTCCACATATGTTTTACATCTAATATAAAATGTTTATATTTTAAACCATAATTTTGACATAAATATTTAAATTCTTATTTCCTTGCCCCTGAACTTTTAATATATATATAATACAATTTCTAATTTTAGAAATATGAGTAGAAATAATATTCAAGGCATTTTGAATACATAAATTTAAGATGTGACATGCACATCTGATATAAAATAATTTACCATTTAAACATGGTTTTAATTGAGATTTTAAAATATTTATTGCAAAATCCTTATTGCTGGCATTATAAAAACTACACAAGTATGTAAAGTATTTAAAATACTTGCAGCAATAGCTGAGCCAGTATGTAGCCTTTCAAGCATGGTAAAACTTAAAATTCTCTTATTTAAAAGCCAATTTTCATCAATAAAATGGATGATAACACAAATATAACTTATGTTAAATTTAGATGTCCAAACATCAGAAGTAATTGGAACTTTAGAATTAAGATTTGATAACAAATAAATTACATTTTGTTTATATGAATAAAAAATTTTTAAAACATCTGATCTAATAGTATTCCAAGAGACTTTTTTATATTGTGGATTTACAGAATTACACAACCATTTTTCAAACTTAGTTTCTTTAGCTAATATAAATGGTTGTTCTACATGTACAATATACTTTGCTAATTCTTGTTTCGTTTTTCTTATAAATATTTAAATGTACCAAAACTCCCCTTCCCAATTTGTGTTTGTGTTGTTTCTCTCCCTTCTTCTTCTTCTTCTTCTTCTTCTTCTTCTTCTTCTTCTTCTTCTTCTTCTTTTTCTTCTTCCTTCTCATGTGTGAGCAAATGTCTACTCAAATGACCTGTACCCAACCCTTGCTACAATAGCTAACATCTTTTCTACATTTTTGGCAATTTGCTCTTTTTCCCTTCCTCTCAATATCCTCTACTTTAAAAATTTTCCAAACTGGGCTACTCAACTTAGAGGCCCTCTTTTTCTTTCCCCTAGTATCAGTATCAGGGGTGAAAGTTCCACTTCCATTAATAACAATAGCATCAGTACTAACACTATCATGATGCGATTGAATATCGTCAACAGTGAACATGTTGGGGAATCGGTTTTTGGAAGAACCGATCATTTTTTTAATTCTAAAAAGATAAAAAATTAATTTAATTGGACTTACTTGGATTGCCGGTTTAGAATCCCAATTTGATTTCAATGGTTAAATCCTTTCAACGTCCAAGCCTCCCAAATTGAGATACTTGAACTGGTTGAGCAAGCCTTCTTCTTGTTGAAACTTCAATAAAGTTGAGACTTGAGAATTGGAGAATCAGGCAATAAGAGTTAATCAGATTGCAGAGAATGTATGAACTTGAGAGAGAAAAGAGATTAAGACAATTGTTGAATTGGTGTGATGAGATTGGTGGAGGATGGGGCTATTTATAGGAATTGAACATAATTCAATTGCCCAAAATACCCTAAAAACTAATTGTTTTTTAGTTGTTGGGAGGGGCATTTTGGTCATTGTAAAGTTATTTATAACTTTACCGAAAAATCCCCCTAAACTAATTGGTATATAGCTGTTGGGGGGCATTTATGCCATTTTTTCTCCCCTCCATAAGCAAAATACATAAATACCCCCTATATAGTTGTTTATAACTGTTAGGGGGGGTATTTATGTAAAAAACCTCCCAAAAAGTTGAAACTAGTAGTTGGG